GTAGTCTTATACGCCAGAAAATACAGTATGTGAAGTGATGAGGGAAGGGAAGAGTGGACAGATTTGAATACAGTATTTGCTGTACAAGAACAGATCTTTCAGCCTAACTCTCTAATTTTCTTTTTAAGACATTTTGTTTTTAAACTTTATGGGAAGGTGAAACTTCAGCACTCCAAGGAGTTAAGGTCTCCCTCAAGCTGTGCCTGCTTTGGGGATTTTCTGAAATTTCCCCAACATTAGTTTTCTCCACTGGTGCTAGCCATGAGTGCTAGTGTAGAGCGACTGCCAGTGTTCTTACCGTTATGTGATCTAGACCTGCTCTGAGCAAGGACAAAAGCCTTGAGCCTTCTCTACACTAGAAATATAAAACACTACTGATTCCCCATTGCTAGCAATAATGGAGCTGCTTTAGAACTAGATCAACAGTAGGATAATTTTGGAGACTCCTGTGTGGACCTAGCCCGAGTGAGACCTTTAATTCCCCTGGAGTGTTGAAATTCATCCAAAGGTGGTGGTGGTTTAAGTTGTGCTGAAATGGTGCATAGGTGTGTGCTGGACCTACTGCACAGGGGTGATTTTCACCCTACATGAAGCAGTCTGCCCACCTGTAGTGCTCTTTACAAATGCTGATGGTAGTAATGTGTGTGGATCTGATCTGATTTATACCAGTATAAAGCAGGAGTAACACCTTTGAAGTCAGTTGAGTTACACCAGTGTAAAAGAGATCAGGACTGGGGCCCAGTGGCCTGAGACCTGTACATTCTGCACACATATGAGTTATCCCACTGATGTCACAAGTCACACTCATACTTAAACGCTTGCAGGATCGGGGCTGCCTGCTAGATAATGAACTCTTTATTCCCACTGGTAAGCAATTGCTTGTATGAGTCCTCTGACTGACATCAGTGGGACTACTACTTAGCAAGTAACTGATCACCAATGGGAGTGAGATTATGATTTTGGTTTTGGGAGGATTATGTTCTTTGTTGTATCAGTGCTTTATGTTATCGATTACATATCTAGGCCCAAAAATAGACGTACTTTAGCATCATGTATTGGAAAATAGAAATTAAACACTACTATATGGATCTGCTACTGTACTTTAGGTGGAGTGCTGCAAATGGTGAACAGTCTGTCTGTTTGCACAGGTTTATTGCTCAAGATGGGAGTGTGAACAGCAGATTAGGAGATGATATGTGACGTGTTCTTTCCTTAGTCTAAGAGTACAAGGTCATGGAATGAATGCTTTGCCTTACTAGTTGCACTGCAGGTCTGTTCGGATGTGTTTTTCTCTAAGAAAAAAATCCATGTAAAACAAAAATATAGAATGACTCGAGTCAACTCCTTGCTCTCTCAGTGTGTATGTGGAGCTCCATTATCCATGTCAGACCCTAAGGTAGGTCTTTCTAGGACCTTATTTAAATCTGTGTTCTGCTGCTGCTATCAGAGGAGTAGTTTTTAAATGCCAGATTCTCAGCTGGTGCAAACTGACATAGCTCCATTGACTTCAGTGGAGCTAACCTTATTTACACCAGTTAAAGTACTAGCCATTTGCTAGGATCTATAGATTTGTTTGAGATCAATTTTAATTGTTCTCTACAGAAATTGCAATAGAATTCGTACCTATTTGCTCTATTTATAATAATAAATTTTGCATTGTCAGTGGAATAATTTAGTGCAGAATGCTACCTGTATTGATTCCCCCCTCTTATTGCAATAATCAAATTAAATATTTAGACTACAAATTCCTTGTAGTACCTAAAATTATTGCACACAATGATGCACTCGAAGGACCAACAAAAATTTGGCTGCTTAATGATGGTGGCCTTCCAAAAAGGTGGGCAGACATAGATTATGCATGTTCTGTGAATATATAAAATTCCAGCAATAGAAAATGGCTGAAATGCCATGGTGCCCTGCTCTAATTGACAACCAAATATTGTATCTTAAGTGCTTTCCTTGTTTGCTGAATATGTGTCATTTCTAATCTTTTAACGTTCGCATAAATGTAATATCGCAGGCTGAAATATTTGTTATTTAGGAGCACTGAGAAGATAGTACCTATTTTCTAAATTGTAATGCAAGCTATAATAAAAAAATGGGCTGGAGGAAAGAGGAAGGAAGGAAGCGAAAGCAAACAGCACAAGCTTGTGGTATATTTGCGTTATTACAACTGGGTCTGCTAGCTCAGCAATGATTCATTATAGCCATTATAGCCTGTCTTTTTTTAAAGAGCTTTCTAATTCAGCTGTTTGAAATCTCATCAGGCATCCATCCAAGTTGGTTGTCAGCCCAGGGACACGATTTTCCTTCTCTCTCTTTCTCTTTTGGTTCTCAGTCAAAATTGTTCAAGAAGTTAAGTTGTTTCTCTGCTACAGAGCATTATGCCAGTTGTAGCAGATTCAGCACTTTTCTGGTTCTTGTGTACTATTAAAGCTGCTTAAGAGTTTCTGTGTTGCATTTATCATGACACAAGGGACTGAAATCTCTGTTACAATCCATTGGCTCCGCCATGGGTCAAAGATGGTTTCATTGAAGCAGCCTTGGTTGACCACACAAAGACCGTAATATAGGGCCAAGTTTTATTCCCTTTGGTGTAAAAATCTGTGGAATGGGAAAATATACCTACAAAATTCTGTTGAATTGGAGGGCTGCTGTTCTGCCACATGCTTCCCTTACTAAGACACAAAGGCCAAGGGAAAGAAGCTAAGGACACTGAACTGAATCCTGCAGTTTTCTAGCGCTGACATCCCTCTATGCACCTATCAAGCTTCCTTCCCCCCAGTATTGGTGGTATAGCAGGTGGATGTGCTGGCCTGCAGTTGGTTCTCTCTTTTTGACTACCTGTATATGCATCTTGTGCTTGTCTTTGGAGGTGTCACAGAGCAGAACTTAATGCCAAAAAACTGCTACGTTAACCCACAAGTGACTTTGCTATGTAAGCTAAGACCACTTCTACTGAGAGAAAAACACACAGACCACATGCCCTACAAATTCTTCCACAGTTCACTACCCCAAATGCATGCAGATTTTGCCCTGTGCTAAGCTGCAGCACAGAGGATGCCTGTGGCTATGTACTGTAGATGAGCGAGCAGCTGAGCAGCCTTTTCTCCTCCATTCAACTCCACATCCCTTTTCTATGCAATTCCCATGGGTTGCTCCCCCTACACACGGCCCGAAGGCCCATAGTGTGCAACAGCATCATTTTCAGTGGGTTGATCTTAGCAATTACATTTTATATAGATGTAAATTGTTCTCAATAGATTGTGAATCAGGCAACACAGTAAAAGTTCAGATTTCCCTTTCAAGCATCCATGCTTTGGCCTTGTGGAAGTGATGAACCAAAGCCCACACTAAGTCACAATGAAACTGGCTGAAATTCACTGTTCATGAAAGTAATTAACAATTGGTATGCACAGCACCAGCAGATCTACAACACTTTTGAAAAGGGGGTAAGCATGGCTAGCTTCATTTTAGAGACTGAAGCAGTAGATCCTATGACTTGTTCATTGTCACACACTAAGTCCCTTGTAGAGACAGGACTAGAGCTCAGTTCCCCTGATTCCCAGACTCAGTGCTCAGTCGCCGAGTTCACAACTACCCTTGTTAGCTGCCTGCAATGTTACCTCTTTTCATTGTGGAAGGAAAATAGAGCAGAATAATACATCTGTTAAATGTTTGCATAAAGCTCTTTTAAAAAAGAGAAAACCGTGTATCATATTTTCTGTGCAGACATATTTTCAGGCTGTTTGTTCAGCAAATTCGGTATTTATGTCAGGATCTGTTGCCACTGGGAAGATAATAATCCAATCATAGTAATGTTGTTAGCAATGCTCATTTGCCTAATTCGTGCTTATGATTATGGGTCATAGTTAGCCATTACATACAGTGTAATGTCTCTGTGGCAAAGTTATGTATTTAATTTGTTCCTGAAGCGTCAGTTTCATTTATTATAATATGGTGTTGTTTATGAATACTGTAACACTTTTATAGCAAGCGAAACCATATGCCATATGAAAAACATATTTAAAATTTTTCTGTATCTGAAAATGCTGTGGCTTATTTGACTTGTTCACCTTTAAAAAGGTTGTTATTGATGACCAGTGGAGGATGTCCCCATCCCAGGATGAAGAAAGAACAGATGCACAAAAGTTCACTCCCAGAAGATGGGGCTCTGGAAAAAGATCTCGGCCAAGGCCACTTTCAGACTATGGTCAGTTGGCAATCAGGAGTCTCTCAATACCAGAAGATTCAGTTGCAGTGGAGTCTCAGAAAACAGACTGTGTAGATGGTGAAAGTCAGCCTGGATTGGCTTCTGTGGAGTCTACGGCTCAGATCAGTACAGTAGGCCTCCAAAGAGGGCGAAAACGAAGACCCATCTCTGTAATAGGTGGGGTCAGTTTCTATGGGAGCAGCCAGACAGAAGAAATAGAAGATCTGCTGACACAAGTAAGATATAAGATGTGCTCTCTGCAAACTACAAAAGATTCTTCCACCTCCTTGCCTTTATCTTCAAGCTAGAAAATAGAGTGGACATTTCCTTTCCTTTCTTCTCTTTTTCCAAGCTGACATCACATACTTTGTTTCGCTTTCCTTGTCTCTAATTTTTTGTAAAAAAAAAACATAACATAAGATCTTGACTTTTGGATAATCTTGCTTGCATTGTAAACTAACCCTCTTTCTTTCTTGGGACGTTATTTCCAGTAGCTGTTTGAAAATGCTTATTTGTCTATAATAAGGTCACATGTATTTTTGATTAGTCTACAACACACAGGATGTAGAATTCAAGTGAGAGGTGCATACAAATAATATTATAAATACAATAAAGTATTCATAATCCTTTGAAACCGAGCCTCTTAAAAAGCTATGGGTATGAACTGCTTGGTATTAGCACACGTCTAGTTAAATGGATAATCCGTTCAAAAACATTGTAGAACAGACCAGGATCCCAGACTGGATGTCTCAGGGATTTGCTAACATGAAATGGAGTCTTTCCATTGACTTTAATGGGTTGTGGCTCAGGTTCAATCTCTTTTGCTTAAATATGCTTATGAGCAGCAGCTAACCAAAATTGATATAATCTGACAGCACTTGGGTAGCTTGTGAGAAATTAGTGGTCTCAGTCCAGTTTCTAATTGACAGGTATTCACACAGGAAAAACATACACTACTTTATTCCTTGGGGAATTCTGCACTACTGTGCAATGCAGAATTTTGCAGAAATTAACGTGCGGGCAGAATTTTCTTTCCCCCACAAAATGGGCTGCAGTGCTGTTGGCCGCCACTAGGGGCCACTGGACCCAGCAGAGCCCAGTTAGCACATGAAGACACTACAGAGGGAGGAGGAGGGGGCTAGTGGGTTCCTGACAGCTGCAGATCCCAGCATGTCCTGAGGGAAGGAGAGGGCGGTGCACAGGAAACTCCATGCAAGCCTGGGACCGATCATCAGGCGGTTTTTCCCTCTGGATGCCTGGGCTTCGGGGGAGTGAAAGGGGGCAGAGAAACAGGAACTGGGTTGTAATAGGGGTTTCTTTAACTCTTTACTCCTGGGGGAATTTTTTTCTGTCTGTATTGTTACAGACATACTTGTAGACAGGCATTTTGAAATAAATTACCAAAATAATTGAAACTGGCGTGATTATGTGGTGGTATTTTAACAAATAAAATTTGCAGAATTTTTCAGAATTTTAAAATACTGTGTGCAGAATTTTTTATTTTTTTTGGCACAGAATTTTTTGGTGCAGAATGCCCCCAGGAGTAACTACTTGAACTGGCCCCTTTGTTGGCTGTGCTAAGAGGTCAAGGAATGAATACATTTGGGAAATGAAAGCCCCCCACTCTCCCCTAGAGGTAGTCTACAGCAGAGTTGAGGCAGTGAAAAGAAGCCTGCTTAGTTGTACATGTTCTACAGATAGTAAGAGAACTTTGGTCTCAAGTCCTAACCACAATGCATTCTCTCTGTTAACATGTTCTCCACATAACAAAAAAGTTTGAGAACCCCTAGTTCAAGCAATTGCTAAATTGATTGAACACGGAAAAAAATTATAGCATTTCCTTTAAAAGTACTTTGAAGTTGTTAAAGAGACCTGATTGCTCTTAGTCTCAATTGTCCTCATGAGACTCTACCTCATGCCGGGAAATTCAATGCATTGTCATTAAAAGCAAGGCCCCCACTGAAAAGAAACAAAGATCGCACTCCCTGAATAGGAATGCTAAAACAATAACAGGTTTTTCAGAGTTTCCTTTGAAAACTATTTTTTAACATGGATATTTTTATTTAGTCAGTAATTCTTTCGCTCTGTAGTATAATACAGTTGTCCTTTACTTTTTCCTGATCAAAAATAGCTGGATTCTCCTGCACTCTTTTCCAGCAAAACGGATTGAAATCAATGGAAGTTTTGTCTGTGTACAGACCAATGCTGCAGTCCCTAATAAAACATCTATATTGTTTAATTAGTTCATTAAATACTTAACTTTTTGTGTTCATGTGAGCCTTTAGCATTATTATCAAATCTATGCCTTCATGAATTGTAAATAAATATTAGTTGGTTTTCAAGAGGTGCTCTTTAATACTGTTAGGGCTTTAAGTCCAACCTACCTTGAAAGGTGTTCCATATTTTTTGAGACTTACCTCAAGGATTTCAGCAATATGTTGTCATTTTTTTAAAACCAATCTTTGCTACAGTGTGCAACTTATTTAAAAATAACCTCACCTGTTTCCCACTGGAAACAAATCAGTGCTTTCCTCTTGTAGCTTCCATGCATCAGTTAATGAAGAGCCAAAGAACAGAGTAGATTTTTTTTAATTGCAGCTTTTCTGCCACAAAGATGGGGTTAAACAAATACATTGTTTTTGGAGTTAAGACCAAAAATATGGGACAACTTCCAAGGTAGGTACATTTTTATGACCAATAACAATGGACATTTAGGTCTCAATCCTGCTCCTATTGAAGTTCAATGGCAGTTTTTCTGTTGCCTTCAAAGGGATCAGGATCAAAACTTTAATGATTAAATTATAATTGCCCAGGAATAAATACATTAAAAGTAATTGGCATTGCGGATATTGGGTGTTTGTTATGGAACAATTTGGAGTTGCTTTTCTTGCTTTAGTTCAGTAGTGCAGTTCTGAGATATTGATATACCATAGGAGGAGAAAATTTGTAAAGAATGAAATAATAATTAGATCATATTAAAATATATCAAGATATTTTTCAGTCTGGTGTTTGGTAGTTAAATTGCTAGTTAAAATGTATGAAAAAGACTTATGATTGAGGAACACATATATCAGAACTATTTCATAAAGAGCTTTTAAAGCCTAATTTTCATGTAGCAGATTTTTTTTTTTTTGAAAGTGTTGAACATCAGTGGAATGTGAAAAAAGTGCTGTTAAATCGTTTTGTTTTGTCTGACAACTTGGTGTGGGGGAAAAAGCTTTCGCAATAGTAAATCACTGGTGTCATACCAGTGGGTCAACAAATAGTTCATAGAGAGGATCTGGTGTTTCTATATGCTTAATTTACAAGCCTAAGAGGAAAAACAATTAAGAAACTAAGGCCATGTCTACACTAGTGAGCTTACAACGGCACAGCTGTACCGATGCATTTGCACTGCTGTAAGATCGCTCGTGTAGCCACCATGCTGACAGGAGAGAGCTCACCTGTCGACATCATAAAACCACCTTCATGAATGTCAGTAGCTATGTCGGTCGGCAGGAGAAGCTAAAAGATGCCTATTTTGCATTAATGTAGTCCCGTTTCAAACAGGACTACATTAATGTGATCTAGGTACCTTTTAGTTCATGCTAGCAGCGTCTACACAGGGCAGTGACAGTGCAACACTTCAGTTCACACCCCTGTAGTCCAGAGGCCATGCAGATAAGCTCTAAGAAAAAAATCAGGTTTAAGATTCTTTTTTTGGCTTAACTATAAAGTATGTTCCTCAGCAGCAGGACGTTTATCTCAAACAACATTCTGGGAAATTAACACACCTGGTTGTATAATGTCTATTCTTTCTTTCTTTTCAGTGTTTCCATTCTGTTACATATTTATAGTTGGCTGACATTACAGTAAACTGTTCTGAGATGTTAGCTACCAGAGCATTTTAGACATGGAATATTATGGAGTGAAGACTGTAAAGCAGAATATACAGTGTCACTAAACGTAACAGAAGGTTATGGAGTTTTTAATATAACAGAGAACCTTAATGCTATAAGATATTTACCATAATATTGTGTATGGAATGTGGTGTTCAATCAATTTAAATGACTGCTTGAACTAGGGATTCTTAGTGTCCATATAGTCAGCTTGAGAGTGTAAGGAAACCCGTTTCATACCTGTAGCTGTCTTTGGCTTACTAGTAGCTTTTACTACTACTAATAATAAGGGATTTTCTTTTTTCTCTCTGTAGCCAATAACACGGCCACCTGTTCCAGCCCACCAAGTTCCCCCATATAAAGCTGTTTCAGCCAGGTTCCGGCCCTTCACCTTTTCACAAAGCACCCCCATTGGCCTGGATCGAGTGGGACGGAGGCGGCAAATGAGAGCATCTAATGGTAAGTTTTACAGGTCTTTTTAAGGGGTTACAAACCAAATGTGTTACAAAAATGGAGAGAATGGGCCAATTCATCAGTGCCTTGGATGGTAGGTGTAAACTACACATAGGATGTAAATTGATGCAAATGGTAAAGTAGCTTATGATGTAGCTGCTTTATTTTATACCTTCCTGTTAGTGCTTGTCCTGATATGCTCAAGTTACACTTGTGTTGCACACCCTCTGAATGTTAAATTGATTCAAGTTGCTCCCCTTTACCGCTTGTACTCATATTTCAATCCATGTACTCCCTACTGCTCTCTGAAGGCTTGTCTACGTGGAAAGGTAGGCTGCATTAACTAAGGGCTTGTCTACACTGGCACTTTACAGCGCTGCAACTTTCTTGCTATGGGGTGTGAAAAAATACCCCCCAGAGTGCTGCAAGTTTCAGCGCTGTAAAGTGCCAGTGTAGACAGCGCACCAGCTCTGGGAGCTATTCCTCTCGTGGAGGTCGCTATGCCACGACTACACAGCCACGTTAAAGCGCTGCCACGAGGCTAGCGAAGACGTGCCCTTAAGGTATAAATTTAAAGTCCATTAAAGCACACTAAGCCTTTGTGTGGAGGCTCTCATTCAGAAGTCAAGTGGCAACTGCTGAAAGAGAGTGTTCAGAGAGGGATTTAATGAACTTTAACTAAGCACTTTAAATTCACGCCTTTAGTTAATTCAGATTAATTTCCAATGTAGAAAAACCCTAAATCACCAAAGGATTTGTCCCAGAGGTTTGTATGGGAGTTGCACCTACTTACTACAAGAATGAATGTAGCCCATGACATTTATCCAGTTTTATGTGAAGTACAAATCCTTAGAAAGAACTGTAAAATCAAATGCCTTTTTGAAGCAGTGTCTTTTAATGTCCTTTTGTTTTGCCCCTTACATTTATTCTCCAGTTCTGCTTATCATTAGCACTTACTTGCCACATTATCTCAAGCTGATAGCAAGAACAATAGTATCGTCTCATAAATCATTAATTGGCAGGAGATATTAAAAAGAAGCTTGGTCAATACCATCTGTCTTCTTTCAGACACTAGAGAACATCCTCTGAGCAATTTTACTCATTTTTCATTATCAAGGGCCTAAAAAGTCAAAGTGCATTCTTCACTTCAGGCCCCTTCACTTCAGTATTCTAAAGAATAGCTGCTGTAAAGCCACTTACAACCTTCACTGTACTGCTCCATATATACATGGAGTAAGTAGTGTTAAAATCAGGATCTACTGTGACTGAAGTGGAAGATCTTATCAAATAGCACTTTCCGTGTTTCTTTATTAACAATTAAGAGCATTAATCAAATAATTTTTCAGGAGCCTGTATTTGTTGCAGATTCATACCAGTTCCAAGTCGAATTGTTAACTAGATCATGCAACTTTATCTAAATTCCAGGGAAGGAAGACCCTTAATCCACAAATACATTATTTTAGCTATCAGGGTATTTACATACTGCATGCTAAAATCCACAGAAGACAATCACTGAGATGGGAAAGTAATATTAGGTAAGTATTCAAGGTACCTTTAGCCTCTTCTAATGTAATTTCACAGCTAGAAATGGGACCAGCCAGTTCTCCTCCGATCATTAGCAGGTGCTCCATGGACCACAATTTGGGAATTACTGGCTGTAGAATTGAGATTGTGTGTGTGTGTGTATAAATATTACAATATTGGAGACAGTTCTAAGTGTAGAAGAATTTATAGTCCAGTTGAAATGATTAAGTAGTACCTCTCACCATGAGTAATCCCATTGATTTCAGTAGGACTTCTCACTGAGTAAGGAACTAATCCATCATGAGCTAGGATGAAGAAGTCAGGCTTTTAAATATCATAAAGTAGGGATTTTTTTTTAAAAGCTATGCCTTCTGTTTCATCTTTGGAAAAATAGCATTGGCTAACAAATACAGCTACCTCAGATTAATTTCTTCTTTGTTATTTTAGCTTTAGTATATCCAAGGTTTCATAAATATAAATGTTTGAGGATAACAGATTATGAAAGTAAGGATTTCTGTCATTTGGGAAAGGAGTGAAATCAAAGCAATGCTGGTCATATCTAGATATTACGTTAGCAAACTAGTTATTATAACTACAAAAGTCATGCGTGAATAGCTTTCTAAATCAAAGTCCTGATGGCAAGTGGGTGGAATATTAGGAGATAGCAAGAGCAATGCTTCTATTTTTTCTCAGTTACAGGAAAGTTTTATTTTGTGTTACCTAATATAAAATTATAGATATAGTCAGGGGTGAAAGTAATAATAAATGCTTATCGGTACGGGGGTGGCTCTGGCCCACAGAAGGGGCAGGGCCTCGGGCGGAAGGGATGCAGGGCTGGGAGCTCCGCCTCCCCCAGCCAGCCCATCTGCACTGCCTGGCCCCCGCCACCTGGGGCTCTGGCAGCAATTTAAAAGGGCCCGGGGCTCCGGCCGCTGCTGCGGTAGCCAAGAGCCCCGGGCCCTTTTAAATCACCAGCCCTGGGGCAGCTGCCCTTACACCCCCCTCCCGTCAGCGGCCGTGGGGGGGGGGGGGGAGGGAGGAAAAAGGGCAATGACGTTAAAGTGCGGCGGCAGCACTTTAACATCGTTGCCCCTTTTGCCTCCCCTGTCGGTGGCCCTGCCAGTACGGGGACCCTACAGGCGGGGGGGGGGGCGGGGGGGGGAAAGGGGGCAGGGACGTTAAAGCACTGCTGTGGCAGCGCTTTAACGTGCTGTGTACGGGCCAGTACCGGCTTCTTACCGGTACGCTGTACCAGCTCACTTTCACCCCTGGGCATAGTGTACACCCACTAAAAGCTGTTTTTTGGGTCTCTGATATGCAAGCGGCTCAAGTAGAGATGATGTTTTTGTTTGGGGTAGCAGGAACATGTTTGGTGGGAATTTAGATTCAATATTCAGAATTTCCCAACAGACTTGACTCTTGTTCGATTTGGAGTTACAGTTCATGCTAGCTGGACATGAGAGGATTTAAATGACACCCACAGCCAATCAGAGTTTCATGGTGGGGTTGGCTACTGTGCAGGAAAAAGATGGAAAGTAAAGGAAAATAAGGTTCTGTCGGGGCCATACCACAAATATTGGGAAATGATCTGGCAGTGGTTGCAGAGTTTTTTAAGTAGTTCCAGTGAATAATGGAAGGTCACATAGTTAATTTGCCCCCCCCCCTTTTTTTTTTTTTACATATTCTGATCTTTTCCCTTTTCCGGCTTCAGGGTCTGGGAACCCACCTGGGAGGGTCTTGGCTCCAGGGTGAGGAAAAGGTCCTGGCTGCTGGGGAGAACGGATTCTCCGCTTCCCTGCTGCGCATTCTTCTCCTCCTCCTCCTCCTCTTCCTCATCCACAAAATCTTCCTCCCTGTTGCGTGAGACTCTCCCCTTGCAGGTTTCCACAGATAGTGGTGGGATAGTGGTAGGGTCCCCCCCCAGAATGCCAGGCAGCTGATCATAGAAGTGGCATGTATGGGGCTCTGACCCGGAGTGACCGTTTGCCTCCTTTGTCTTTTGGTAGGCTTGCCTGAGCTCCTTAACTTTCATGCAGCACTGCTGTGTGTCCCTGTTGTAGCCTCTCTCCACCATGGCCTGTGCGATTTTGGCATATATATTAGCATTTGTTCTTTTTGATCTGAGTTCTGCCTGCACAGATTCTTCTCCCCGTACAGCAATCAGATCCAGTGTCTCCCATTCACTCCATGCTGGAGCTTGTTTGCGAATCTGGGACTGCATGGTCACCTGTGCTGCTGAGCTCGACACGCTGATCAAACAGGAAATGAAATTCAAAGTTCCTGGGGCTTTTCCTGTGTACCTGGCTAGTGCATCGGAGTTCAAAGTGCTGTCCAGAGCAATCACATTGGAGCACTCTGGAATAGCTCCCGGAGGCCAATACCATCGAATTTCATCTGCACTACCCCAAATTCGACCCAGCAAGGTCGATTTTAGCACTACTCCCCTCGCCTGGGAGGAGTACAGCAGTTGATTTTAAGAGCCCTTTAGGTCGACGGAACGGTGTTGGGTGTGTAGACGCATTGCTTATAAAATTGACCTAACACAGCTAAATTTGACCTAACCTCGTAGTGTAGAACAGGGCTCTGAAGCAGACCTGAGGACAATGAGAAATCCTACCATGGAAAAACCTGATTCTAAGACCCAAAGCCTGAGATTAGGCTTTTATTTTTATATTGAAGCAATAACTTCTGAGCAGTATTGATGTTTCTTCTTTCTTCCTAGGAAAGAAGGAACTGTGTAAACTGTACAGTTGTTACGACTTGAAAAGAGGTGGAATGTGGCTGGACCTATGTTCATATACATGGCCTAGAACCCTGCAAGCCCTGCTGAGGTGCTGGTGCAGAGTTGTGTTCTTATTGTGAGGGATGCCTCATTTTGGCCTCTCTTTTTGTGTCTGCATTTATTTATGGATGCAGTTGATGTCATTTAGATTTCTGCATGTCTGATTGTGTCCTCAGTTATTTGTGCTTCTTCATTCCCGTCCTTCTCCACTTCCCCCAATCCTCTTGTGCAACAAGCAACTGACCCACAATAACTCATGTGATATTTTGGCTGCCTTGCTTAGCATGGGGCTGGGACCACAAGGACATACAGAACTTTTTGGGGCAAATGCTGGTCCCATTGAAATCAATGACAGTTCACTATTGACTTCACATAGGCCAAGGCCAGGGGATATTAGACAGCTACCATAATTAACAAACAGATATTTGTTGGTCCCTTGAGTCGCTACTGAAAGGAGTTTTCAATGTAGTGAGATCTAACCATCTTAACTTAATTTTTTTGTCCATATTTTATGCTATTCCTTTTTCAGTTGCCTACTCACATTCTCAGAGGTGTAATAGAGTAATTCAAAGGGGTGAACCTGTTTTATGTTATAGTTTTAGGATTTTGTCTGGACAGCACTTGTTCAGTGTGAATTCTTCAGTCGTTGATGCAGATCCCAGGGTTGGGGGCTTTTTATGACTTAAGCAAAGGAATTTTC